TGAAATTACTTTTTAATCATTCTAAGGTAACTTACAGCATTTACTTTCATCCTTTTTATTTGTTATTTTGTTGGTCTTTTTGTAATAAGTGTGCTGAAAGAAATACAGGAACGCCTTTTTTGCAACTAGCAATATATTTTAATGTAAGAAAAGCCTGTATCGTGGGAAACCGGAACTGATAAGTAAATTGTCGAATAGATAAGTAAATTGTCTATACAAACGAGACGAAACATCTGCTAGTCTTCATGGAGGTCCATCCATGGAGACAATTTGCATAAATTTTGGAATAAAATTTCTAGCATTCAATGTCCGGTGTTTACTGTTTACTTTAAGCAAGACCATGTCAAGTTGGTCTTTTGAAAACGTCTTCAAAATTTATGGACCTTCGTCCGCCTTTGTTAACTCATTTGGCAGAAATACAAAGAAATATCGTCTGCAATGTCACCGCGGGACTTCACGCGAGAGGTAACGACGTCATCGCACGTGCAGGAAAAGGGTAGTTCGAGTTTTTAACGAGGAAGTGCTGTCAAAACAAATTTCGTTATGGTGTTTAATTGATTTTTAAAGGACAATAAACCACTTCTGCATTTTCTAGTGATGGGTTTGTGCTCTCCGGACAACACAAACTAATTTGTTCGCTTTAAATACCGTATAATTTATAAGGGCATTGCAATTGCAAAAATTATGAAATTTGTTTTCTTTAATTTTGAATAAACACAATCATGATAATTGATTAGTTGAGAGATAACTATAAGCAGTTACGATAATGCTGTTATACTGATTATCAAAATGTTGCTCCGTTGTTTACATTGTCCGCCGTCATATCTTGCATCAAAGTGGCCGGCTTTGTTCATACCTCATTTGAAATAAATTGTCCAGGACTTTATGCGTTTAAAATTCAAAGACACTGGGAAAATAATCGAATCTAAAAAGATGAGAAGATAAAAGGAAAGTGATATAGAAGGAACGCTGCACTGTGCGTTATAAATTAACAATAATTACTGCAGGAACAACACGTCAATGAGTTCATCTGTTTAATTAATACAGTTTCAATATTTATTTGTTAAAATATTAAATTGGAACAAGTGAGTATATAAAAAGTTCATTTTGTGCATCAAGGAAATAAATAAATAAATAAATAAATAAATAAATAAATAAATAAATAAATAAATAAATAAATAAATAAGTTGAACGAGCGAATGAATGAATGAATTTTTATAAGAACAAGAGAATAACTATAACGTTTATTTTATCCATCCTGATAGATAAATAAATAAATAAATAAATAAACATTTTTGTTACTACATTTATCTTCATGGTAAGGTATATTCTCTATAAATTAACATTATAAATACATCTTTCTAAAATTGATAAATAATTATGTGAATTAGTAGAATCACAGTATACATATTTTTCGGCACTGATGCTACCTAACATTTCACTTTTGGATTTTTTGAATTTAATGATTGAATTAATATTGATAAGTAACGTTAAAATAAATATCAAGATCGTACCAAACAATGAACTTTGCACATACTAAATGTAAATCACATCAATGAAGTTTTGGAGAAGAAACATTTCTAAATAATAACGCCTTAATTATTTTATCATTTTAATTTACTAGAAATATTCTGCAAATCTATTTGAAAATGTAATGTATATAAAAGGAAAACATAAAGATATTCGTACGAAGAAATATAGATGTTCTTGATAAGATAGTCTCTGCAAAAAAAAAACAACAACAAAAAAGGAACAACAGAAAAGAACAGAGAAATACAGTCAGGCTTAAGTCTTGCTTAGATACAAATAATTAAATATACATGGTAACCATAAGGGACACTTTTATAATAAAATAATTCTATCATCATTATATCAAAATATCATAATCGTTTACCTGTTAATGCTTTTATACAAAGCAAAAAAGTACTCCAAATAAGCTTCAAGCTTTAGCATAATTAGCTAAATTAAATATATTTTAACCAGTTTTTCTTATTTGAAAAAAGTAATCTATGTAAGAGAGAATTTGATTGGTGCCAGACAAACAAAACAATAAAGTAATTAATATAAAAATGATGTAATATTGGTAAAATCATCATTCTGTGTTTAATTTTTTATTGCACAGCATGAAAATGATAGGAACATATGTATTATAATGTATATGATATTACTATATCCAGTATATTAGGCCGCCAGTGTTGTTTTAATCTACAAGTTTTTCTAAACAAGATATGTTGACGCTCTATAAAAACCCACAGGAAACTTTAAAGTTCAGCATTATGATACAAGGACTGAAGGATGTACGTGCAAACATGAGTTTGGGACATCATGGCGGCTTTGAATTAGAAAACGATTAAAAAAATATTGGCGCATAATAATTAGGTTTCGTAGAAATAAAAACTCGTTTTCAAGGCTACAGACAACACGAAAACGTTATATATTAAAATAAAGCAAAAGATAAAATAAAGTAGACTGCATAGTTTTGCAGCAGATTACTTTGGTGGAGTAAAGAATGTTGACAGACACGTCTGATGACAATCATCAGAACCCAGGAACATTAAACACAGAGTCTTTTACCTCCAAGAAATAAAATCATTGACAGTTTACTCAAATGTTTATATCTGATCTATTCTTAACAAAACCAATTTGTGAATGAGTACGTAACCACTTACATCATAGGCGTAATATTTCGTCTGTTTGATTCAAAAGAAATACATGTTTTTCATTCATAAATCAAGCCAAAGGCTTTATATATCATGTTCAACAGACTGTTAGACTTTTTGAGAGATAGTATATCTATCATGGTGAATTCTCCATGCATGTTTTCGTGCAAGAGCTATCAGTAATGTTGTTGGTCTGGGTTAATTTGTTGATGATGAAGGAATATGATATAAAAGATACGAGATAATTGAGGTAGCACGCGCTTTAGACATTGTGGTCTTCACATCTGTTCATTAACTTTAACGTCAAATATTCGCCATGTTTTAAACAAAAGAAATGTTGTTTTTCTATGCTTTGTTTAACTATCACTGTTGAGTATATATTACACAAAAGTACAAAAAGATGTGTCCATAGATACAAATCATTATACGGTCAACTTTCATGGAAATAATAATAATAATAATAATAATAATAATGGTAATAATAATAATAATAAAATCGGTGGTTTTAACGGTTTCCGGATGAAAATATCGTCAGAAAAAATCTATGCCAGTGCATGATATAAATGTAGTTCTGAGTCCATTTTCTGTTGCTATTAACTGATATATTAAACACATTTATAACATCATTGAAAAACGTGACAGAGAAACATACCACGACGATTTATTTTTCATGTTTCATTAATGATGATTTTTATGTTACCCCATTTCTTAAAAAAAGAGCCTCCACCATTATTATTATTATTAATATATTATGCTATTTTGATTAATTTTCTAAACAATATGTATAAAAAAATATTTCTTTACCGTCTACTTAAAAAAAGTTTATTTTTGAACTTTGAATTTGAAATTATACATTGTCTATTTCAGGAGCATAAAATGAAAAACACTTAACAATAAGCAACCGATATCATAAGGCCAAGTAATGATAGCATAGACAAATTGTAAAAACCAGCCATTCTAACACGTGTAAATACACGTCTGTTGTCAAAATATATATCATTGTATGAAGTGGTGTAGCACGTTCTTTTCTAATTGGTTATAATGATTTAACAGTCATCGGATCAATTACCTAGAACCTGAAACAATATTTGTTTTGTAATATTTCCCTTCTTCTCACCTGTGAAAAATGAATACAATCGTCTCTGCTCATACGTTTCGTATACTTACAATTTAAAAAGAACATAACAGGTTTATTCACAACATTTTCTAATTCCATGCAAGTTCTACAATTTAGCAAAGGCCAATGTATAATTTATTATTCCAACTTTACAGACGATACAAACTTCAAATGTTTTCGATGTAAAACATGAATTTACAAAAATTACAAATGTATAAACACCATTTAGGAAGTTAAATTTTGAACATAATATTATAGCCTGCAAATTGGAATTGCAGTTAATTTGTTTTAATCGTTTAGTGTTTTAGTTATTGTTTATATATGCAAGTTCATTTTGATATGAACTCATGCCTCAGCCATTTGTTTTCGTGATGTTTCGTATCATTTAGCTAATGGTATTACATTTATTTACAGATGTCAATAACCTGAAGTTTAATAGACTTGTTTTACCTTTACATACTTCCTTTTGCAACTTTTTTGTAATGAAAATATGTGTTATTAGCGTTATGTGATAATAAAATGCAAAATGATGAACACATTGATTATTGATACATTCAAATATCAGTGAGAATTGGTAATTTAATAGATAACATAGGCTATCTACAGAAGTAGAAACTGTTCTTTTTATAGCTAAAATGGAAGAAAATAGCGCTTAAATCCATATTATCTTAATGAAAAATGCAAGAAGAACAATCAGAATATGCAATAGTAACGTTTTGATAAGAAAATCTAAAAGTCTCAATGTAAAATATATGGTAAATTGTAACAATAAATTGCAATGCTTATACAATGATATAAAATTGTTTACAGATGTTATATGATGTTACAGTTTTAATGGAAAATGAAATATATGTTTAACAACAGACATATTCTTCTGCGTTATTGCTTACGCTTTACCTTTTTCTCCTTTTTATATTTTAAATTATTTTCAGTTTGAGGAAAAAAAAAATAACTGGCCAGTAAAATTATGTCTGTTTAGTTTAATAATATTTTATTGTATTCATAATATTAATATACACACAATATACAATTTCATAATCATCAAGTGAACATTCAAATTGTTGTGCCAAAAGTTCAAACAACATTATCGTGGGCCCTTCTTTGAAAAATAACAGTATATGTTAAAAAATGACTAGCAAAAACTGAAAATATACATAGCCTGAAGAAACAAATACAATTTTTACATTACAAATGTGCAATAATATATTTTCTTCATATTACAGGTTTAGGTGACCAATGGGGATGTGTGCCTTCCAAACATAGAACTCCTTTGGAACGAGAACTTGGTTCTCACCTTTTACAGGTCTGTATCTATTTATCTGTCAATATGTATATATTTAAAACGCTTACACTGCTGTTCAAATTCAAAATTCATATAACATAAAACCTATGTACCGTCATTTCAAACGCTTCAAAGTACGTCATTTCAAAGGCTTCAAACTACAAGAAGCATTGTCCGAATGCCAAACTATGATACGTGTAAAAACGATTACTGTCCATAAATATGGAAAGTAATGATGATACATATTTATCATATATCGAATTTAACTGGATTAGTAAAAAAAAACATTCTTAAGAGAATCATCTGTAGGAATTTACCTAAAATCGAGTTGGAGAATTTCGCTATCTGTAGAAGCAGAGAGGACAGCGAGCGTGACTTCGCATAATAAAGTCTTCCGGAATAAATATCCTCGGTTAATGCGCTCTGAACATCATTATTCTAAAGAAGACATTTCTCGCCATGATAAGTCGCTATAGCTGGCCATTGTTGATTCAGTGTAATTGAAAACTGATGACATTCCTCAAAAACCTTTACCATACCGTTGCCGTGACCAATCGGCTAAAATACGAATATGCTAATTTTAAGTTAAGGTTATTTTGGTTTTGTTGTCTAAGTTTCCGGTGATTTTTTTTCTATTGTTTTTGTCTCGCTTTTTTTAAATGACCTGCGTATAAAATTAAACGAAGAAGATTTATTTGCATTTAGATGATTGCGAAATTTGTCATGTGGCGATCTCCACCCCCCCCCCACTTTTGTTTTGAAATTATTTGCAATCACTGGTATCATCATTGCTGGTGGAGTCGGTGTCACAGGGTATCATATATGTATTAAATGGGCGTGTCTTTAAGTTGCAGAACATTATACACGCAATCAACAAAACAAATAAAGCTCGGTTTTATAGGGGGAAAAGAAAGTGTCTTGCCATTGTAAATTTAATCACTTTTATGACGCGAATAAAGCGTTCTTTTAAGTTATTTGTTAATTGTATGATTTGAAAGTTGTATATTTAAATTTATCTTCAGAGGGAATGAATAAGGGAATTTATGTTCTTGACAAGTACTACACAAAGGCAAACTTCCAAATACTGGAAATGAGTTTGACGACTTTTGTAAAATGATTAGTAATATCACAATGTAATGCAATGTATTTATAGATGGTAATGATATTATCCACATTTTCCTTTAAAAAAACACTACATTTTTGTAAAAACAGAACGTTGTTAAAGGGTATAAACCTATATCTTATTTAAGAAAATTGTAAAATTATGTCGGTTATATAATCCAATGGTCGATTCTCGAAAGTGTTTTAACATAGAATGTTTCTGTTATTTAACACAATAAATATTGTACTTAAACAGAATAAAACGTTCACCGGAACAAAATATTATTCTGCAGATATAAGTAGAGCCGTTTAGCAATGATTTCGTGTACGCCCCATTCGATTTTAAGGACAAATTTCATAAAGGAATGTTGGAGTTATTCTTTTTTCAAAATTAAAACAATATTTTGGGAGATTGCTGGTAGCAGAGATATATCTTATACACTTAAAAGCGGTTTAATATTTGATGAAATAATGGCTAGGCTACGAAGCTTGGTAAAAATTTGCATATATTTAGAAAAAAATAATTGCGCTTGTTTTTATTAAGCTTATTTTGCTTCTTTATTGTTCGATATCATTTTTTATTCTGAAATAAAGTTTTAAATCCTTTGCTAACATTAAAAATTATGAATCTTTATATTTTGTAATATTTTCTGTTGTGTATTTTAAATACCTAAGCATGTTCATGAAAGGCACATCATTACACAGAGACAAATACATTTTTATATCTTTAGAAAGGGCAAGCATATATATTATAATGCTTTAATTATTATTTTAGAGAATGTAAGCTGCTTGTTACCTCAAGAAAGTAGCGATAAATGTGAAATAATTTTTCATAAAAGTAACAAAATGTACAAAAAAGTAGTATCTTGACTACTATGTAAAATACTTTTTCACTGTAAGTGTACTTATTGCCAAAACGCAACAAATGATAATGGTGGTTTAGGATTTTGGCCAATGAGCAACTTTTTGGATACTATAAAAGTTCACTAAAATTAAAAAACTTTTGAGAAATATTAACAAATGTATTTCTGAGGCATACTTGGCCTTTAAGTACTTTTGTAAAATAGACAAAGTGCAGGGTATTATAATTATTATTTCAACTGTTTTCTAGAAATATCTACTGGATTCGGGAATATCCTCTCTCAATCTTTGAGCTGCCAGATCACTTTCACTACATATTGAATCACTTAACGCCTGTCAATAGATGTAATCAACCGGGACATTAAACGCCGTAAAAGAGCACTTTAATTCACTAAGAGCCTTTAAAATGCGATCATTCGATTAATCCCGATAATGACACCATACTATCATTTAGACAAAACCCGGAATCGCCTCGATCCGATTTCCGATTTTTCCGCGATAAGCGTAAATTGATTTCAGAGCGGGTGATAATTTTGATGTACAAAATGGAAAACAAATTTGTCGCTTGTCACAATTAATTTCACTAGGATTTTTATTTGACAGAATGTCATGTCGAATGTTACACTAGGTATCACTAAACTGTCTTGCATTGCACGAAACTTTTCTTGGACAAAACGTTTGACCGTTTATTTTTCACATTTTTCGTCATGAAATGATATGATAAAATCCAAAAGAACTTCGACGGAAAACTCATTTTATATATAGACATGTGAAAATGTGCATTTTTATAAAATAAATACAATTTATGTTAAATAACAAGTAAATACTTATTTCTTTCAGACTCTAGATGGTTTTATTTTTGTTGTTGCACCAGATGGGAAAATTATGTACATCTCTGAAACAGCTTCTGTACATCTTGGTTTGTCTCAGGTAAGAATGCTTCATTAAGAAAATCAAGTACTGAGTTTTTATTGTACATATATTCGAACATTTTCAGTATTCACAAAACAAATTTTCTTTTATTCGTCACCCTATGAAATCTAGTCGACCTTTTTTGAGATTTTTAAAAAAATTTATTCCATATGTCTTCTGCTTTTTATAGGTCGAGTTAACTGGAAGCTCGATTTATGAATACATCCATCCCAATGACCATGATGAAATGGCAGCCATTCTTACAATGCAACAACCGTGTAGTCCTCATGTTATACGAGGTGTGTATTCTATCATTCTTCCCATCCCTTAAAGCTGTATGTCTCTAGACATTTGCTAATTTTCGTGAATATTTTAAAAATGTTTTTAAAAGTAAACTATTATGAAGTTGCAAAGAAAATTATTTACACATTGAAAACAGCACTTGCAGTCCACGTAACTACCAAAAAGAGGTAATGGTAAGCGAAAATAGCCCTTACTGCTTTAGTAAAGCAGCGGAAAGCTAAAACATTCTGGAAAATGTTTTTGCTCATCTGGATCCATGCAGTTTTAAACATAAGTAATGATAAAGATATAAAAATATTTAATAGTTTCAAGAAGAATCCAACGAGAAAAAGATATAAAAACATTACCCGTATATTTTCAGATTTTGAAGTAGAAAGGTCTTTCTTTATCAGAATGAAATGTGTTCTTGCCAAACGAAACGCTGGTCTCTGCTCGGGTGGATACAAGGTTAGTTTTACTGGTCTATTTTTACTTGTAAAATAAATAACCCTGGTAAACTACTAATAAATAAGTTAGTTAAAGCTTAGTATGATTCTGCACAATTTAAGATTTTGGAACCAAAAAACTAACGTTAGAATATAGAAACAGTGACTTGTAGTGTTTTTGAGTGATTTTGCGCACGTGTGAATGCATTTGGGTAAAAATATTTTGTGTATTGTGTCATGAAATGCAATGAGTAATGAAGAAAAAAGCCTAAAATTACAATTCTTTTCTTAATCTAACAATTCTAAAAACACATGTAGATCTAATTAAGGTTTGTGGTGTTAAATAAATTTAACGATTTGAAAATACATTGAAATATAAGTTAAATAACATCAAAAATTCTGTTTTATTTTAGGTAATACATTGTAGTGGTTACCTGAAGGTCCGGCAATGTCCGGTGGAGATGTCGCCATATGAAACCTATCTACAGAATGTCGGCATGGTGGCTGTCGGTCACTCCCTACCTCCCAGTGCAATCACAGAAATTAAAATGTTCAATAACATGTTCATGTTCAGAGCTAGTCTTGATCTTAAACTTATTTTCCTGGACGCCAGGTGTGTTTGAGTTTGTTTGTTTTTTCAGAAATAATTTTTTTTTTATCTTTGCATAAGAAGTGTTTAGAAATAAGGATATTATGTTTTACGATAAGTGTTTGTTTAAAAAAGTATGAGAAAATAGAGAAATTGTGCGTATTTATAAATAGAATATTTGGAATCCTTTGGCTTGCATTGTAAAAAGTTTAAAACACAATGTCTGTTAACTGTAAGAAAGCAAATGCAGAAAGAAATATGATGGAATTTTATGGGCAAACAACCAACCATTACGATAGAATTTGTAGCAATGTTAAACCGGAATTGCAGTATATTGCTTCCCTCATTTTGGAAGAGGTTAAAACTAACATTAAAGTTTTATTTTTTATTAACTGCTTCATAATACATTTACAATGACAATGCTATTTGCTAAAGTGAATAAATCCAAGATTTGCCATTGTCTATGAAAAAATATAGTATTTAAGCATTCTATATTTCAGGGTGGCACAGCTAACCGGGTACGAGCCCCAGGAACTTATAGAGAAAACATTATACCATCATATACATGTGTGTGATATCATGAATATGAGATTCGCTCATCAAACATGTAAGTAGAATATTCGAATTTTTAAATGTAATGACATCATGTCATCTGCAAATTTCTTTACTTACAAAAGTATGTACATGGTGAAATGAGTGTGCCTGTTTTTCTGTGTTCATTTGTTTGGTTTGTTAATTTTTCGCTTATTCCAATAAATGTGATACATTTTTTACTTTGATAGGTAGATCTAACATATATAAATTTGCATTAGTAATGGTTTAAAGAAACCAATTTCAATTTATTTACACAGAGTATGATTTTGAATACCTAGCACCCATAGTATAATATTATATATAGGAGTACCCTTATTTACTTTTAAATATCAATTTCTTTTCTTTTTTATTATTCTGAATTATAGAGTTAAAATATCATTAGCGTCAGTGCATACGCCTTTTACTTACAAATTGATCTTTACATATTTTGTCTCATTTTTAATATGAAATAATTGTTTAATTGATATGGTGTAATAGCTTATTCTTATAAGTCTTTGCCAACAAGTTCCATGAACAAAATTACATACTGTTAATCACTTTTAACCGAATCGTATTTTTCTTTAAAACATTTTTTGTAATTTTTTACATAAAGAAAGTAGAATAGATATAAAAAAAATTAATATACACCTAATTGACTGTCATGAATTGTCGATGCCTTGTTGTATTTATTAAAATGATCAGAAGAACTATTCAGCTCCCATTTCAATATTTTGATTGGTGCTTTTTGGACAGACAATTGTCCATCAAACGATATTTATTAGTCATTCAGTCGCTATTTAATAAGTGAATTGAATTTAAACTGATTTAGTAGCAATAGCATATTATTGCGGTTATTTATCACCATGTTCGGATAAGAGGTATTTGGTTGTTACAAGTGTTTCATTACTCACTTTAAAATCTCTTGAATTATCAATAGGATTATAGCGTTATACCGGAGGGATTATCGGAATAATAAAATACTGCCTCGCAATCGACACATTTAGTGAGAATAGCCTCGTTGCTCTGTGTATTTGGGTAAAAATGAATCTATTTTTCGAGTATTTGTTGATACTCTTGTTTTCATACCAACGTTGGGTAGATATTAAAATCTCCGGATACAAGTATAACTAATGGCTGGAAGTCCAACGCATTATCAGGATAACTATTTCGCACGTAGATAAGTAATTTGAAAGTCGCATAATGAAAGAAAAGTGTAAGACACCTGGGCACAATTATTTTTCCATATAGGTAAAAAGAGGGTCAACGGCAATTGTAGATAACACGGTGATATTGAATTAGATAAATGAGTGACAGGTCGATCAAAAACACGTGCTTTTATAATTCCGAGCTACTATCAGCTGATAAATAATTTGCATAAGCTTTTTAGAGGGATAAAATGTGATTGGCGATATTTATAATGAGAAAATAGTATCAGAAGTGTTTTATACTTTAAATCACACCGACTTAACGCCCTTCCGTGTTTTGACTTATTTTTTTTTTCTAAACCATTCTGAACTTGCTTCGAGTGAACTTTTGTTATCAAATCTTTAACATGCAATGATTTCAAGAATAAAATATATTTTTCTCATGTACATATTAACGCTCAATGAATTAAGATGAAGGACGAATGATGCCGATCATTCACGATCTATTTATTAATTGCGAATGAAAAATAAAATGATTTTTATGTTTTCAGTATTAATGAAAGGTCAAGTTACAACACGTTACTACAGGTTTATGTGTAAAGATGGCGGCTGGGTTTGGGTACAAAGTTATGCTACAATTGTTCATAACAGTAGATCATCTAGACCACATTGTATAGTTAGTGTCAACTATGTTTTAAGGTAGGTCTAATCAACTGCGATCATTTACAAGATTCATGTTTGAGCCGCGTCACGACAAAACCAACATAATGGGTATGCGACCAGCATGGATCCAGACCAGTCTCACCAGGATCCATGCTGTTCGCTATCAGTTTCTCTACTTGTTATAGGGTTTGTAAGCGAACAGCATGGATCCTGATCAGACTGCGCGGATGCGCAGGCTGGTCTGGATCCATGCTGGTCGCAAACGCATTACGTTGGTTTTGTCATGACGCGGCTCATTTAATGAATTAATTGTCTTTCCGCGCAAGGGTCATGAGTTTGACCACTACTACGACACAACCATGTTCCTCCCATGACACCAGAACTCCGAAAGTGATTAATATAATTTCACAACCGTGGTAAAATAAATATTTCTTTATACTAAGACGTACATTAAAGAATTAATAGATACTTTACATAATTCAAGATTCTCTTTAAGATGCGCACGTCTTTATATAAATATTTACCAACACTGAAGTCAGGTGTTACACTAAGTATCCACCGTACAGTTTGCTATTTAAGGGAGAAAACGAGGTGACGCGTATCTTCCTTGTAAACATCACCACCGACCGACTTGTCGTGTATCATTTTATATGATAAATGATGTTAAAGAATTTATATTTGACAGCCAGTAAGCAATGAAGTCTAAATCTAAACTTCTGTTTAAGATTTTGATAAGTGTAAATATGAATAGACTTTCATTTTCTGTTTGGAGGCGGCCAAAGAGTTTTATGTTTAGTACATCTCTTATATAGATTGTTAGACGAATCTAAGATTTGTTTGCAATCAAGGAAATTATAGAATGCTTTCTTGAAAAGAAATGAAAGACGAGTATTTGGATGTATTTCACTCAGTACTGAAAAAGTGACAGATATAATTTATAATTTTCGCGCTTCAGTTAACATAGAATTCAACAAGTTGAACTGTGACATAAACACAGCAATGCTTGCAACAGACAAGAATGAAAAAGAAATTCAAAGTCAATCTTTATTTGAAGATTAGATAATAAATTATGTAGACAATTTATCATTCTAATAAAAACTTAAGTTCTGATGTAGATCATTGCAACAATTTTCTTTTATAATTTCAGCGATGTAGAAGCAGCCAATTTACAAACCCATATAGATCAAGCAGGCCATAAAGAGGTATCAGAGTTTGCTGTACACGACCGTCATAAACTTGGTAAATCTAGAACACCCAAGTCCAAACAGAGACAGTCACCATACCCGTCACTTCCAGAAACTAGAGATTACCAAACAGAATTTGAACATGGATTCAAGGGTGATATAGACATAGTAAATCCAATACAGGGCTTTCAGGGTATTTCCTACTCACCTACGTTACTGAACAATCCCCATGATGCATTGCTCGAACGTTATAATGCATTGTATTCCAGTCACACTGGGTCGAACATGGGACCACATGCATTTAAGGATTGTGTTTACAGCTATCCATCTCAGCAGCCTCATTTTGATAGCGGACAATATAGGGTTGGTTGTGATGATGCCTTTACTCCAAGAGATTCTGCAGAGTTTCTTCATCTTCATACAAACGCTGATGAAGAACCTAAACTGAATGAAACTATTCATTTGACACCGTTAGCTCGTGAAATTAGATCAAACGGAACATGTTCTAGAAGCAGCAGTCGTGGTGAGTCATTCGGAACACCTCTGCTGCAAGAAGTGCCAAGCAATAGATCAGAATCGTCAGTATCTGATGTTGATGTTCTTTCTGAAGATATTGATGTTTCCAAAACAGACAATCTGAAAACTGCAAAGACTAAAGAGTGTCAAAATGTGCCAACAGAATCAGTTCAACAATCCGTCATTATGAGAATGCCAAATCAGAGTCAGTCACCGTATTCATTGTCACCTAGATACAGTTGTGATTTCAACAAATCAAATTTGTCGAAATCACCACGCGCACATCACGCGGAAGTGTTAAAATATCCGTCCGAGACGGAAAATAGTCCAAATTCAAACTTTTTTGTAGATGATAATACGGAGAAATTTTACGATGGGATTAAACAATTTAGTGCAAAGGGATTTGGAGATGATCCACTAATGCAATGTTTAAGGAGCGGGTATACCCCTTACGAAGGTTATAATCAGGGTGGTCTGTACACGGGCACGGGGCTTCAACCTAAACCATACAATGTTGTACCTCAAGCTGGATATACCAGCGTCATAGTCGATACCAACCAGTATCAGATGGCAAATGGTTTCGTTCATTAGCTGTTTCTTTCTTACAAATATTCAAGATTGTTTACTCTCGATAAATGTGCTCCCATGTATTACTGTTAGACAAAGTACACAATCTTATTATACTTTTCTAAAATGTATGTTTTGGATATGGTATAAAAATGTAATTTTGATAGACAAGTTATTTCTTTAAAAGAAACAACACTTGCTTATCTCTGTGACACAGGTCTAAGATGTTTATATTTTCATTAAAGTAAAGAAAATTTGTACTTTTATAATTATATAGAATTTTATAAAAAAGACATTTTCAAAATTTCAGACCATTTCCCCCAGAAAGTCTTTACGAATACTTACAAACAATAATGTAAATGGTTAAGTTCCAATAAACCACACAAATATTACTCTTTCCTAGATTGATGTAAGGATTGTCTCCTTTTAGAAAAAGTCGTTAATGTCATATTTAAGAATATTCTTAGAAGGTGAAAATGTTTGTCAGGGATGAGGACAGTTGTATTTCTTTCAGACAAATTTTGCTATTATCAGTACACATATTCATTTTCTAGAACCGGATGAGAGTGGCTTTCTTTGGCTACACACAACACCGTTAAAGGTACATTATGCCTCAGAAATTCATTTTTAATAATTTTTTTAGAAATGTCAAACATGTGTTTAATAACGTTCTTATAATTGATTTAGAGCATGTAAGACGTTTAACAGCTGAAGACAGTAGCGCTGAATGTGCAGTACTGTAGTCATCTATATGACAAATATGTACTTTTTGGAAACTATAACAGGATACCAAAGAAAAAAAGTGTTTTTGCTTTTAAGAAATAAAAATGGTAGCATTTCGGAATCATAATGTAATGGGCCTTTAAAGGAAAGTACAGCCGTAATAACAATTTAAGGGATAATTCACATGAAATATTTAGAGCATTGTGTGGGGGGTATTTTACTATTACAATATATATCAAGAACAGCAAGCATTTTCATTCTGTGATAAAAAGGGACATCGTATATTTAAAGTGAATAATGTATAAAAAGCTCAAAAAATCTACGTCGGAAATAACATCAATACTATCTAATTAAAAATATACTTTGGCCAATAGCTAAAACGGGAAATAGCAATAATTTTAACGTGAAATGAAATAAAGGTAATTTCCTGTGTTATTGAAATTAATTTGATAAATACTGAATACGACTTTGATTGAAGCTTGATAGAAATGAAAATTAATTTCTTAAAAAAACTGAGTGCTTACTAGTCAGTGGCAGTGTTTAATATGTAGAATTAAGTCTACAGTAAAATTACTGATATATACATGTATTACAGTAGTACGTTTTAAAACAAAATATGTGAGAATTAAGCATATGTTATTATTAAGATAAAAATGTTTTAATCCATTGTTGAGTATGGTTAAAATTGCATTTTTTAACCAAATAAGTAATAATAAATGTGGGTATTTTGTAATATTTGAATTTATACGTTTACTAGAACAATCTCGGGTGTCAGGGGGATACATTAATGTATCATCAGCTTTTATATATCTATTGTAATTGCCAAAAAAAAGAGAAACAAACAAATAACAGTACTGGTATCTATTTTTCTGTTTTCTAGATCTAAAAAATTATTTTTGTAACCCGAATAACTCCCAATGCTTGTAAATGTTTTGTTTCCATTTTATTTCAAAGACACGAATACTTTGAATACATAAATAGTATATGTGTGTTTATTGTCTGCCTGCAGTTTACTATTCTCTATCTTGATCTAAACAGGAAAAAAAACATACAGAATAAGACCAATATTTTTTTCTGTCCAGTTTATGTGTGTTATATAATTACTGGTGAAACAAACCTGTGTTAGCCAACCACCTGCCAATGAAAACCTAGTATACCGATTTATAAAAAATGACGTTTTACATATAAAATATGCTATTGTCTGTATACATATATATTACTTGTATGAAATCAGAGTAACAATCAGAGAGCCATGTTTTGTTGTGTGTATCACGTGTCTATAGCTGTGTTTATTTATTCAGTGGTGCTAATATGCATAAAATTATCATTTTAAAATGAGTAATTTATTTGTTACAGATCATTCTATGAAAATTGTTTATAAATAAAAGAAATAAAACTTGAACAACTATGTTTTTTCTTCTTTCTTAATTCTATCAATTTTATAGGATTATTTTACAGCAGCCGTGTCAGTTCCCAGTTTTAACCCTTAACCGGCAAAATCTCTAAAATGAATCTGAATTTGAAACAATTAATAAGGAATGGATTTCAATTCAAAGTACATAATTGAACAACCAACGGTAAAGGGCCTTGGTCAGATTGTGCATATATAGTGAGCTGACCTGGTTCTATACCAAAGACAGAGGCTAATCACTGGTTCCATTAAATAACAGTCAAGAAAAATACTTGATCGTTTTTAAATGGCTTTGATATCAACAGACATTGGTTCGCAAGTATTGTAAAGTAAAAAAATCCAAAAACAATATTTTCTAGAACATTTAGAAACAACATTAAGAATTTCGGTATTTTAATGTAAAAAACACCCATCATAAACTGACCAGCTTTGCTCATTGTGTCAACTATCTTTGGGGAATGTTTGTAAGTATAAATGATCATTGTTTCCAAATTTGAGTTCACCACAAAGAACAGAAATTGGTCAATGTTATCAGTTATCTATTCCGAAAACATTTAAAAGAACAATTTTCCTCTTATGTTCTAGGGTATAAAGATCGATTCACACAATGTTCTTTGAAAAGTAATACCCTTTTTACAAGATGGAGCAGTTTTTCTAGCATTTCCAAAGAAGGTTCCGGATTTCAAAAAAAAAACACACACACAAAAAACAACAACTAAAGACAGTGTGGTTTCAAATAAATGTAAAGGATGTTTCTGTTAGACATATATTGCCATAGATTGGCATTTATCTACGGCACAGAAAAGCAAATGAAACTACTGAAATAGAGTGTTTTGATAAAAAAAAGCATCCATGGTCTTAAAATGACAAATATTGAAAGTGGGAAAAGGCGCACTTGTCGTTTAATCACGTGGATCCAGTGAGCGGATAACGACGCTTCCGCCGTGAAAATGTTTTTTCTACTAATCACAAAAACATGGACTAATATCTGTCAAACACTTCCGAATGGTACTTCAACAGTTCTGATAATATTGGAGAGGACATTTTCAATCTTTACAGCACGAGGTTCACGATTTTTTTAATTATTTTTACGACCATTGTTTAAGGTCACGTGTACAGCTATTGGGAAGCTTTTGGGCAACGTTTTAACAAGTTTAGGGGGTCATACCTAATGGGGACTTAATTAGAGTTATAGAGTGGACATTGGTCTTTTTTATAACAATGGCTTAAAAGCATAGTATAAAAGTCAATGACGGTCTTTAAAAAGCAATAATGATCCGAATATATTCAGTGATTCGCATTTTAACATGTAATATCTGTCAAACAAAATTGATAATTAATTTTTCGTTTTCATATTAAGCATTTGTCAAAACATTGTGATATCATCATAACCAAGCTCCTATTGCACCTGCAATAAGTGACTATGTCGGAGCCGAATATTTGGTAACATTTGAATATGATAAAAGAAATTAAGAATGGTAATGACATGCCAATCTTTTACTATATTCATAATAACAAATTGATTTGATATCCAAAGAAAACCTGATATAGTGAATGAAAATGAAACAAACAAAACAATAAAAATGGGATAAAAATAACAACTTTAAATCTCACACACACGTGAGTTGGTTTTAAGTCAGCCCTAAGATATGAATCAATTTTCATATCAAACAAATTCATAAAAATGATTTCGGAGTCCTCCACATATTTTATTAAATGGCCGAAACTATGTTAAATAATTGTTCTTATTTTACAATTTTTACAAAAGAAAGCGAAAAATATCTTCATCATGTAAAAGAACTACGATTAAGATGTGCATGTACATGTAACTTAAGAAAAATATGTATACATTCTATTAGCCACATGCTTCTTTCTGTATTCATTCCGATATGCAGAAGATACTTTTCAATTCACTTAAACAATAAAACAAAACATATTTGTCCTGTTCAGTTATGTAGAGCCACAAAATGACACTCGCAGATTTTATACAGACCAATAGGCGACCCTGAAATGCTAATAACAATAATAACAAAAACGAAATCCGAACTATTCAAATGAAGTGGCCTTCTTAAAATTTTGATTCTTGAGCCTGGCATGATTGCAAATTTCCAAATCATAAAGACAAATCATCGCGTCGAAGTCTGTTGTTCGGCGATAAAAGACAAGTCTGTTCTCTAATACGAATGATAAGAGCAACTAAATCTCTCGCCAAATACAAGATGACGGCGGTATAATAACCTTGTTCGTCTGCTGAGCCGGAAAATTGATGGGCAGTTAACAGAAGAAACCTCTCAGAAGAAGCGAAAGTTTGATTAATTATGCAAAAGAGCAAAGAGGTTCTTTACAATAGATCTTTAGTGTCATTTCGGTTGACACTTTGTTCGGATATGAGCAGAATGGCAATTGTTAAAGTACTTGTTTTTGGTGATTTACAATTAATGAATTTTAAGGCAAATAAAATATAAATATTAAAAAAAACAAAACAACGCCTGAAAATGTGGTGTACAAAAGTATCTGGCAAATTTAAAAGTCGGTATGTACGATCTAAACATTATGTTAAAATGAAACTGAAAATTTCAAAATGTATGCACGCCGGTATTTGAGATTATCAGATAAATCTTTCCCTTTGTATTGTTAACACTTAACACCATTGATGATTGGACTAAAATGTAATTCACATTTAAGGTATATTGCAGTAAATTTCTCTTATTATATCAAAACAATGTCTTTCCATTTGAATGCCATTGTTTTGAGTTCCAACCTGATGAATTTCAATATATAACCTTTTTCCTTCCTGTGTGACTTAAACTTTCGACATGTATAATATTTCAAAACACATTTAAATATATAATGACACAACTTGTCGAAAATATCGTGTACTTTCAAACTGTTCCTAATTTGTTTTCGACTTCAATAATGATGATATACCTTTGTGAAGTGGGCAAGAAGATTTAGCTTAACATACGGTAACGAGTACTGAAGAAATTGTCAGAAAACCGACAGAAATGCAAGAAATTCTAAACAAACACGCTAGATGATGCGTCCATTAATTTTCATCTTTCGTTAGAGAAGCGGTGATGCATGCCCTATGTTGATAGACAAGCCGACAAGTCAGTTCTGATAGGCGGAGATAGTGAGCTATATATCAAAGGGCAGTAACTCGAAAAAAGACTTTGACAAGTGAGCGGAAGAAGCAATTTGCGCGCTATAGTTAACGCTTAAAAATGATAATCAAATATCTTCAAGAATGTTAACATTACAAAAAAAAAAGGTGGAAAGTGCTTAATTATGAACATGTATCTCATTTCTTTTCATTTCTATTCCAAAATAAAAAGTATAATTCATTAAACTTTATTTCTATGTTCAAATTCAATATTTTGAGGCCAATGTATAGCCAAGTCTGTAACAATATGAATTCTATCGCAATATACATGTATGCATTTTCATATTACTTTTAATAGAAGACAATAAATGCATTTCAAATTTTTATGACTGACTCGCCGGACATTTTTACGTATAATATACATATCATGCATACCTATTTTCGCTTATTATTATACAAAATGTCTTTGAATTTGAAAAGGGGACGCTTGGGGAAACACTGAAAAAATTTGGGTTACTTTTTTATATTTTTTTAGAATTAAAACCCGGGAAACTTAATTGACTATTCATTTAAAACATTTGGAAAATAAAAACCCAAAAAAAAGACTTTATAAACTTTGGGATTTTTTTCATTTTTCAAATTTTGTCATGTTAAAATTAAAATTTCTACCCGGGCCATGACATTTCTAGCCCGAAGTAAATTTTTAGAAGCGAAATGTCAGTTTATTGGGTGAAAAAAATTTTAGATTTCCAAAAGGAATAATGTCATAAAAATTTACTGGGTTTACTGTGCAAAAATAAAAGTATAAATTTTTAAGGGGATAATTTACTGTGAGTAAAAGAAGAAGCAAAAAACGGGAAATTTTTTTAAAACATTCTTTGAAGTTTTTCTGTTTAAATTTTTTTCATTTTATGCATATTTATATAAAACCAAAATGGGGAATGTAATTATTTCGACATAATTCAATCGAGCATTAAATAGTATACAAATATATAATTATATAATAAAGGGATAGACGATGGTAGCCTATGTGTAATCCACATTGTAGAAACACCGTTCGCAAATTAATGATATAAGTTTAATTGTATAAGCTCGCAACATATGATACAGTGGTCGGAAGTGTGTGTTATTCCTTACATCTTTTTAACTCAAATCGAACTAAAATACATCGTAAAGCGAAGCAGTGGTATAATGCATTTAAAGCCCGAGCCCGGAGGGCGAGGGATTACAAGTGTTAGGGCTTCTGCATAATTATGTTCATCCACGAAAAAATGTGCATTAGCGCTATTCTTGCATACAAGTATAATTTCGCGTTTCGTCATTTGTATTTCGTATAAGGAAACAATTGATTGTGCCATGTTTCCACGTGCTAGTGGGATGTCATTGGCAGTTTTGTTTTGATGGTAAAACTAACGAGCACCGAGTCTCGCATATTGAAAACGTGCAAAACAACGGTGCGTGGTCACGCGAATCTACCCGTAAATGCATGTTTTCTGCATGTATACCTGCGTGCGCAACTTTTATGTAAGGATAATGTCCCGTTTTGGAAAAAAAATCACGATTCAAAATCTATATAGTGTATATTAAGTTTTATTGATATTTATATGATAAGTATATGTGATAGGATTGGCAAATATACACTTTATTTGGATTTTACACCCCAAGTGTTTGTGTTACTTCGTACCTTCTATCTTCAAAGAAAAGTTCAAGACTCGGATCTTGGTAATATCAGAGTGGTTTCAAAAGAATCTCCTCTTATCTAAGCGTAGAAACATTTTGATTATGCTATCATTTTATTGAAGATCGCGCTTTACAATCAAAATGAAATACACAATGCATTAAAAGTAACTGAAGAGTCCTTAACAAACGAATCACTTTGGCAGCTAATAAATAC